CCCCCTGCAACTGGGGGCGAGGGAAAGATGGAAGGGGAGACAACAGCAGTTCTCTGGTTTTAATCCAATTCTGAAGGATCACTGAAATCCACAGGAGCCTGAGCAGCAACAGCAAAATGAATGGGAATCAGGGCGTTCGGAGCAGAGAACAGGGATAACAAAGAAAAGGAAATTAAATTAAGGTAGAAAACTGGTAGCTTTTTCCCAAAAGACCAACATACCCATAATCGAAAACCCTGTAAGGCACTCTCAGCATTTCATTAAGCTGATTTCTTTGTGCAAATCAGTACTGAAGTGAAAATTTGTAAGCAACATCAGTATTTAGTGGAAAAACGGTCAACAAGTCACTCCCTCTATTAAGATCCGGGCTGTATTACGAAGTTTGAAAGCAGTTTCCCGGTGATTATTCTCTACTGAATGTGGCCCAAACAACAACAACAGGAAATTTGAAATAGTTCTGCTGAAAAATGAAATGCAATAATAATAGTAATAAAAATACTTAGTACTCCAGAGTACTTCACATATATGAAGTACTGCACAAACATTAATTTATCCTCATCATCTCCACGAATCAGGTATGTATTATTAATAGCACCATTATGCAACTGCTGCAGATTCCCGTTATTTCTTTTGCTCACTTCTCTTACTCCTCTTTTCTCTTCCACATGCCGAACACATCCCTCTGATTTGTTTGCTCTCCTCCTTTTCTCTTTCAAGGTTTCTCACCCACCTACTCCGGCACCCCTACCCTCTCTGTTCCCAGTGCTAAACGTTTTAAGACACACAGGGGTGTTTTACATCCTTAGCTAAGCCTCAACACGTTGAGCAGGTTCATAGAATCATAGAATGGTTGGCCTTGGAAGGGACCTCAAAGATCATCCAGTTCCATAACTGATACTCTAAGCTGCAAAATTTTTTACTGGATAAACTGATAGCCCGCACAGCAACACTCGTCAGAAACATACAGTCATCTGACAACAATTAAAAACACAGCTCATGATACCCGCACCAGCACAAGCATCTGGTTCAGCACCGGCCATTTCTTTTGGAAAAGGAGAAAGGTTTGATTTTTGGGCGCTGGAGCTGAGCAATAAAGCAACAGCCACACAGTGGCCCAACAATGACAGAAGAGATCTACTACAGCTAACGCTGGCAACCACGAAGTGGTCTAGTTTTCATCTGGTTTTACAAGGAATTCATCATAGGTAATAAAACCTGTAACTTCTATCTAAACTTTGGAATCCTTCATCAATTTTTACACAAATTCATCAGTGTCACTTGCAACTACCAGCACAAGGGAAATTTTCACTCACATACCCAATATTGCAAAGTCAATCAAACACATTAGTCCTTTCTTTGCTGACTTTGGCTATAACTCATCAACAACTGCAGAATTTCTCAGGGCAAACACTAAGTTGACAGGACTCTTTCCTCTGAGGCAGCACTTTCCAGGCAGTTTTTAAAATGCTAAGCTAGATCTATTCATCAAAATTGTTTTCTTCAGATGGAACAGTATTACAAGAAAAAGGATGACTTGTTTACCTCCCTGGCCAAAAGCTTACAAACAGAAAAGATGAGACAAACACCTTTACTGAATGGCACAGACCCAAGAAAACAAGCATTCAAAAATCAGCTGAAAACATGACCGGGCTGGATTTGCTATTTCTTTAAGCATCTGACACGTCAAAATATCTAAGGTATTAGGTAAAACTATTAACAGGGTATCAATATTTGACAAGACCTGTCTTCCAGCCTCATTTTAATTAACAGGTGCTAAAAATTTTATTTAAAAAATTAGATATTATTGTTTTTCTTTCCAGAAGTACATAAAACTCTGGATAGAAACTAAGTAGGAAACTGAGTGACTTAGAAACTTTTTGCCTCCTATCCACAGCCATTAAAATTTCTACACAAATCTCCTTTCCCAATAAAACTCAGTACCAGCTGATTTATAAAATGAATTGAACCCATAGGGAAGTGCTCAGTCAAAAAGAGAACACAACACGCTCTCTCTAACCCTCCCAGAGTCGGGGTGCAGCAGCGCAGCCCCGCGTGTCCCCAGCCCGAGGGCCGTCCCGGCAGCACCGTGATCCCAACGTGAAAGTGCACAACACCCTGGTGCCAGCAGCACTGACACAGCAGCCAGCCCCACGCAGGGAAGGTGAATCCAAACGGATGGGTGGTCCTCGCAGCTTAACCGACAGCAGTTTTACCTACTACAGGCATAGCAAGGGTTTGCGCAGCGCTTCGGCTGCTGTAATTCCTCTGGTGCTTTAATATAATTTGGATCCTTTTATTCACCAAAATTTTGTACACAGTTTCCTTTTTTTACTTCCCCTCCTTTTTTACAATTACCTACACACATAAAATTAACACAGACAGATTCTCCTTCGCTCTTAGGCCTTCTAGAAGAGACGATGTTCAAAATGTGACAGAAAAATAAAAAGGCAGATTTAGGCAAAAAGCAGAGGTCTCTCCAAAGTCCCTCCCAGAGAAAAAGCTTTCTGGCTTTCCTCCTCTTACTCCCAAGTGAGATACCACCACAAACAATACCGCCTCGGGCTGCCAGCGTGCTTTTTAAAGAGCATTCACGGAAAACGCCGCCAAGAGTAAACTCAAGCTTCCGCTGATCCCGTCCCACGTGGTAGTGCATGAAGAAAGAGGCTGACAGACGAGTCTGGTACTCTGCAGTGGGGCAACAGCTCAGAAATTCTCCATTATCAGATCACGGAATAAATATGTAATAGGTTAAAGTACTTAATATCATAAATTAAGCTGAGTCAAGACCAAGTGAATGCTTCAATATTCGACATGAATACATAATTTCTGTGTCACTATTTCATTATTTTGCAGCATATAAGAACACACTTGTTCCCATCTCCATTTTTCAAGCTTTTTTTTGTAGGTTTCACAACTTAACAGTAAAAATTCAAAGGTATTTTTAGTGGTGTCTTTGTGACAGTGTATGTACATTCACCATCAATTAGTCTAGCAGCATGACTTACTGCACTGCAAATATTCGGCACCAAGACTCACACAAAGCTTGTCAGCTTATCCTAGAAGCATGTTTGGTGTAAACTACCAGCTCCTGGTGATTTCGGGGGACCTTTTGCTAGCTTTTACAGCTTTTTGGCATTAACAGCTCATTAACTGCTTTCTCTGAAAACAAATATGATGAAACTCTTTAATAATTTCCTCTGCCAGTATCTGTTTCTGAGCTTACTGATTCTCAACTCGAAAGTTTTGAATATCTTGCAAGCTTTGAACATCTTGCAAGCTTTGATTTCTTGCCAAGGTTGTCTTCTGCTTCTACACCACATTTCTTCATACACCTCACAGTTATCTCCACCTTGCAGTGCATTCCATGATTAGTTTTGCCCGTTTCCTAAAGATCTCCAACCCTCATTTATTTCTTGTTTTCTTTTGCTCAATGTTGAAGGGTTTTTTTTAAGTCTTGACATCTTCAAATAATCACCTAGAAGACAGTTTCGCTGTTTCTGAAACTGCCTTATTTAATTCTGTTTTTCATGCATTTTTATCCTAAAAACATACTGGAGAGTTTAGTATGTTTATAGAGATCAGAGTAACCGATGCCTCAATGAATGCTAGGCTCAAATTCTGCCAGACAACATTTATAGAATGTTTTAAGTTTTCCTCTCTTCATTGTTTCAAACTCTTCAAAATAGTGCACTCAGAGGAATGGCAGTTTCTTGGAAGTGTATTTTACAACTCCAGAAGTATTTTATTTGTAGCTCTCTTTAACAAAACACCAAACGTATAAAAGTATTTACTACCTCTCCAATAAAAAAACAAAGCAAAACAAAAAACCCCAAATACAACATCTAGAAAGAATCAGATTAACTGACATTGATTCTTCAAAGCACAACATTTCAGGCAACATTCACCTCCACAATATTCAGACTGCTTTTTTCATGGAAACTTCATATTTCCTGATCAAGCGTGCTTAATAATAAATTCAACCTAACAAAAGTCATAATTCAAGTTTAAATAAATTAATTTCTAAGTTTTAAAGATATTAAAGAAAACTGAGGATGAAGCGGTGGTAAGCCACAATCGAAAAATTTGGTTTTAATTTCCTGTAAAAGCTTTTTCTGCAGTTCTGGCTACAAGTTTAAGTTATCTTTAAGGAAGCCACAAGTAATTTTTTATTTTTTTTTTTTAAATGAAAGCCTGCCCTCTTGTGTAAGACTGAAGTTTAGCACGACTACAGCCAATACAGAGGCACGAAGACGAGTGCCACTTCTTGACTATCTAGAAAACATGAACCTTCGAGCGCTCTGCCGTTGGAGCGTGCTGCTTTTGCTAAACGGGGAACACACAAAGCAACTCTTCATCATCCAATGCCCTCTCCACAGCAAGAATAAAACCAAAGTACTTTCTGTTTTGCATGTTATCTTGGCCAACAAACCAGAGTCAATTTGCAAATATTTAAGTGCACAGGTAATTTTGGAATTAGTCTCTTCCATTACCTTTTGTACACATTCGGTAGAGACAAAAGAAAAAAAAAACAGGTTCTTCTTTGCCTAACACAGACAAGTGAAGGAGAAGAAAAGGAAGAACAGGTAAATCATTGGGACTTTGTTTTGTTTTGTAACCCTTATCCCAGTTGGTAGACTATAAAGGCATCTACTTTGTTAAAAGAGGAGGCCAAGCACGACGTCTAAGTCACAAGTGACTTGTGAAAGCCCACCGAAGACAATGTATAAATGTCACGTAGTGTTGACAGGATCCTAAAGGTGAAATGACTGAAAAATAGCATGACTACTACCTACTACCAGCATTTCACAGTCAGCATGAGCAATAAATGTTTATCCAGCTGCATAGTAGCAGCACTGTTGTAGAATACATACTGCAAGGCATTCATCATGGACAGTATCTACCAGAGGACAAAGTTTTCACCCATACTTGAAAGTAAGAATGCTTCACCCCCCAGAGATGTCAGACACCCTCAACAGAAGTCAAAAACAAGCAACACCTACTTTCGAAGGTGTTCGTGCTCCTTCAGGAATAGTTCTGTTCTTCTGTTATTCACTCCAGACCCACTTTTGTACGATCTAAAATGTAAAAAAAACCAATAAGAATTGAAAAACATTTTTTCCAGAGGCTTTTCATTAGACAGCATTAAATGATTTACATACCTATCATGCTCTGTTACTCTGGTGACCAAACAGAAAAGTTCCAGACGTTTTTAACGTGATCTGGCATAGCTTACTGTTATACTTCAAAAACATTAATTTCTTTTCAGTTAAAAAAAAATCCAAACCAATACAGAATCTTATCACCACCTTAAAAAAGTCATCAATTGAAGTAACTTTTTTGCTTTGTTCAGAGCACAGATGAATAAGCTATGCCAAGTATTCTGCTATAGGAGCGTTGCCACCTCCTCCCTCCAAGCACAGTCCCATGCCATTGCCACACAACGTGACTTACTCGATATCTTTTCGTACTGATCCCAGCAGGTTCTCCCTTTCTCGTATCGCCAAGAAGTTCGCTTTGGTTTTGTGGAATTCGTGCGTGTAATCCTGAAAGGAAACCATTACTCCAAAATGAGGATCACCAGATCAATTTAACAAAACAATATACTCTAGTAAGACCGAATCATCTTTTAAGATGTCAACTTTCTCTAATACAATGTGCAAGACCAATTTGTTAAATTAACACCAGAAATGCTTGGAAGTTAATGTCAAGTATTTTTAAAACTCACGAACTTTTGAAAGCTACTGTTAAGGTCATAGAGGGAAATTCACTGTAATTCCTTGTCCCAATTTCACATATCTTCACCTTTCTGATGAATTATCATTTTGTGTTGGAATCTCCTGATAGTGGTGGAATCAGAAGCCCTAGTAAAACCTACTTATTTGGTGTGGTGAAGACATTCTTGGGTTTATTTCATTAAGTTACATTAGATGAAAAAAAAAAGTTTTTTCTGAAAAGTGAAGATAACTTTTTACCTTTTTTTTTAATGTTCAAGTTGCAATTTTACATTTGAAAACATCTCAGGCAGCTAATACTTCCTGAAAACAAATTTAACAGGCAACTGGTGTCCATCAAAACCACTGTTAACATTTGGCAGAATTCTTCACATAAATGCTATGGCTTTTACAAAATGCTATGCTTTTTCTATTGTGTCTTGCATGGGTACAAAACAGAAATCAGACTACGCTATCAGCCAATAAATAATAAAACATGCATTTTTAACATTACTATGCCAGGAAAACGTGACTAGTTTGAAACATGGTTGATTTATAACACTAATTAGTAGCTTTAGCCATCATGGGACACTTCACTGTTCTTTCTTAGCCAGGTGCTAGTCACCAATATGACATTAAAAAAATGCTATTTTTTCAACTCAGAGTTCATCAATTGGGGTGAGAAGAAAAGTGAGATGGGATGAGTGGGATTTAAATCTTCCAGTAAGACTTTCAAGCATACTGGGATATCAGCACCACTAATAATTAAAATTTAGCGGCTGAGGGAGCTGAGACTGTTTAGTCTGGAGAAGAGGAGGCTCAGGGGGGACCTTACCTCTCTCTACAATTACCTGAAAGGAAGTTGTAGGGAGATGGGGTCGGTCTCTTCTCCCATGTTATGAATGACAGGATGAGAGGGAATGGCCTCAAGTTACGCCAGGGGAAATTTAGGTTAGGTATCAGGAAAAATTTCTTTACAGAGAGGGTTGTGAAGTATTGGAACAGGCTGCCCAGGGAGGTGGTGGAGTCCCCATCCCTGGAGGTGTTTAAAAACCGTGTGGATATGGCATTGAGGAACATGGTTTAGGGACTCTGACAATGCAGGGTGAATGGTTGGACTCGATGATCTTGAGGGTCTCTTCCAACCAAATGATTCTATGATTCTATGATCCCAAACAAAGAAACAAAATAAATGCAAGAAAGACACATGTCCGTTACCTGCAATATGTCTCTATGACGCTGTAACGTATGCATCAGTGCAGCGTTCAGGGACGGGACTCCTGCACTATTTGTGTATTCTGCCATTTTGTCATTTATTCCAGTAAGCTGGAGGAAGAAAAAAAAAATCAAACGCAGAACCATGAAATGGCTTATTCTTGCAGGAAATTTATGGTACCTAAGTGGAAGGAGGTAGCTCTAACGACAGATGGATACCTTCAGACACACCTGTCTGTCACCCACACTAGTATTTCCTGACATTCATCACAGACACCTGTACTGTAGTATCTCCTAGATGCTCAAGTAAAATCACAGCAGCTTGAGTTACCTTTCCCAGAAGTTGCTCGATCTCCACAGCCATGGTTTCAAACATTCTGTCCTGGCTCGATCCATTTAAGAGAGGAGTTGTATCAGAGCTAAGGAAAATGAAGAGGAGCAGTTACAGAAAAGGACATCACCTTTTCATGAATGCAACAAATAAGGAAACACTAGTGTTAAGTGTTGGCAAGTTTCCTAGAGAGATGAAGTAAGCTCAGAAAAACTACACTTTCTTATCATACATGCCTTTAACTCTTACCTGAACTAAGGAAACAGTACCACTTGGGGAAAGTATAACCTCTCCCTGGAAGATATGCCCGACACTAAACCCTTGTCTACTTCCAGCACGTGTCTAGCACCAATGCCCTTCCCTCCCCAACTTTTAAGCTTGATTTACTTATTTATTGGCAGGAGGGAGCACTGTGCTACTAGCATGTTACAACAGCTACATAATTACACCTTATTAACACAGCGCTAGGACAACCCACTGACTTATTAAGCAGAGCAATTAAGCTCTACAGAGCAATACAAACCACACAATTTATCACAACTGCAGTTTCACACAGTCCACCTTTCCTATGTGCTTCTTAAAATACACTAAAGCCACAATGAAAAGTCACCTTTATGCAACAGAAGTGCAGCACAGGGTACGCCAGCCTGCAGAAGTATGACAGCTAACACCTTTCAGAGACTACTCTTTGCTTTGCTGAGCTGCCGTACCTAGAGAATGAGTTTTGCACAGGACAGCAAAAATAACTAAAACACTTTGATTGCATGGCAGGTAACAGAGTACAGAGCTAGAAACACGAGAGAGACTAGGGCACTGATTCAAGAGTAATGTGATCATTCCTGAGGCTCTCTCAGGCTTCCAGAATCAGAAATTTGTGGAAAGGTTCAAAAATCGATTCAATCATTGAATTAAGGAAAAAAAAAAAGAAAAAACACCAACACACATACACACAGCAGTCACACTCACAACTGATACACAGCGTTGGGACCCACAGTTAATAAGCAAAGAACGACGGTTGTCAAGGTCGGGCCCAGGGACAGAGAAGTTGATAAGCAGCACTATGGAACTGCAGGGAAGACCTCAACTCTGGTCCACAAGACAGGAAGACCTGAAAAGTTTTATTATACTAATTCTTCAGTCAAACACGAACCCACCTAAGGCAAACATAAACTATTCAAATACATACACACGTGTCTATATATATCTGTTTCATTTATATATAAACACTTCTATAGCTCTCGCTACTGCTACTCAGAAGAAAGCCAGAAATAAACAGCTACCCCTCCTGAAGAGAGGGCCAGCCCCCTGTGCAACCTGGGACCAGTCACAGCTGCTCAGTGCTCCAGTTCCCCTACCACTGAAACAAGGATTACAAATACCACACCACGTGAGAGGTGTAAGGCTAAATTCCCCCCGCACTGAAGTCCCTGAAAACCTCCTCCTAGTTTAACACAAGAAAAACTGGAAAACACGCCGCGGTGGCGTGCATTAAAAAGTCCCATCATTAGTTCATGTGTGAACTCCAGAGTTACAAACTGAAGCTTAAAATTCAGCTTCCCCTGGTGGCACACAACTCTCAGGATGCACCACTGCAGCCCGCACACCTTCCCGACTCCGACGCCAGTATCCCTCCATATGGAACCGCGACCAACAGCAGCGACACAGCACCCAGAGTGCTGAAACGAGCTCCTCAAGAAGCCAAGCAGGAGAGCCGCTGGTGGGAGCAGCATTAAGCAACTTGTAAAAACGAACCGAGTGCCAGGAGCAGCATTTAAAACATGAAGAAAGGGGTTAGTACCTATACCTGTCGCGCCTCCCGTCTCGGGCGCTGCTGGAGCTGGTGCAGAGTTTGCTGAAGGAGACCAGCTTCAGGTCGAGCTCGTTCTCCAGCTGCCTCGCCTGCTTCCTGAGATCTGCACGGGGCGGCCGGAAAGTCACAAACGTGCAAGGTTTGGGGACCCCACATAGTTTGGGGACCACACAGGGTTTGGGGATCCCGCGTGGTCTGGGGACCCCACAGGGTCTGGGAACCCCACAGGGTTTGGGGAGCCCACGCCTTTGGGGACCTCACACGGTTTGGGAACCCCACACGGTTTGGGGACACGCGCGGTTTGGGGATCCCACGCCTTTGGGGACCGCGTTCC